CAGTATGCATGATAAGCTGAAGGCGGATGCCACCTACTGCCTGCTGCTTTGATAACATGATGCCTATCAGATATCACAAGAATTTCCTCTTGTGGTGTCACATGCTCATGAACATTTCTCAAGAAAAAAGACCATGCTTCTTTTGTCTCTCCCTTCACCACAGCAAATGCAATCGTAAAGATATTTGAGTTGTCATCTTGGGCTATTGCCATTAATAATGTTCTAGTGTACTTGCCATACAAGTGTGTTCCATTGATTAAAATTAGTTTTTTGCAATATTTGAATGCCTCATTGCATGGTGGTTAGGTCCAAAAAAGACGCTGGAACATAAAGCTACCATAATCAACAACATCACCAACATAGTATGGTTCTGTTTGCATTTGGACAATAGTACCTGGCATATAAGACTGCAAGCCACCCAATCATCTAGAAAGTTCATTATACGATTCTTCCCAATCTCCATATATCATAGCAATAGCTTTATGTTTCGCCAGCCATACCTTTCTATATGTTGTCTTGAACTTCAGCTCTGACTCCATTGATGCTTGTAAGATTTAATGGAGATTGTCAGATCTGCTTGAATCATGGGGCATATGTGGACACAGATAATATGATAATCCATCTGAATATGCTGATTCATAGACTCTGGAAAAACACATGTGTGTGGTCCTGTTAACTTTCGCACTTTCCAAAGCTGCAATTTTGGCAAAAAGTGACACGTATACTCCAATTACAGTCAATGCCAAACTTCACACACTTGTAATGAAATTTAATGTGGTCAGACTTATAAACTTTATACTGAACACCTCTTCGAATGTTGTAATATTTAACAGCAAACGTCACTTCATCCTTAGTGCAAAATACTTGACCAAGTGCCAAATCATTCTCTCTCCCTATGCTCGAACTTGAATTAGACCCACCCACATTACAATGCATTGCATCTAAATCAACTGTTGAGTAGTGACTAGGGTGTTGTCTCGATTGAGATTTGGAATGAGATCGCGACATCAAATGTTCACCAAAGTTGTGCACATCAGAAAATTGTTCACCTTCTTCATGCTTAAGGTCCTCCTCTTCATCATTTTCATCATCTTGTTGCCCCACAATAAAATCAAATCTCCAATCAAACTACCTTTTGTCATTTCTTGTGCATTTTATAATAGTGGCTTTTCAATCTGTCTAACAAGGTGTTCAAAACTTGGAGAACATACCTCAACATGTGAATTGTACACGTCATGGTAAGATTCCTCAATTGATGGGTCTAGATTTGATGGAGAAGGTGATGGATTTGGAGTTGAAACTCCAAAGCTAAAATGATCACATTGTAGTTTGATGTATAAAAATTGAATTACTGGGCAAGTGTACCCATTGTCAGAGTAATATTATGAAAATTTAAATACCAAGTGTCGTATCCACAGGGACTGTTATTAAGAAATTCTTCCTTAATTGCGTAATTGTTAATAGATATGAAAAATAAATTTTGTTGATGAAATTGCTAAAAGTAAAAGAATAATAAATTAAAAAGGAACAGATATTCTTATGAAAATAAATTATAGAAAATTATGGCTAAAGGTATTCAAAGGAAATAGGCAAGTATCTAAATTGTAAATCCTCCTTAATGTCCAAATAACTGAAATTCTTCTTCAACTACTTAGTTCCAAACCGTTATCGCTGCAGGAAATTCTAAATTGAATCAATATCTTTCTCAAGGATAATGATTCTTAACCCTCAGTTGATCAATCAGAATCTCTTCCTTAATTAATACCCCTAGGTTGCATTAAGTTCATTGTGAATTCCATAATTAGGGTTAATCCTAATACAGAAAACTCACATATTTCTATCTCTAGAAATACATTCAAGTCTTTTTAATTGAGCAATGTTAAATTCATGCAAGAATTTTACTCAAATTCAAACAAGAAAACAAGGTAGAAGAAAATTGATACTACTCAATTAAACCCAAGAGAAAGGAACATGAAATAGCATTAGAAGAATTCCAGAAAATTTAGTCAATTAGGATTCATTACGTCTAGATACTCAAAGGAAAGTTAGAACCTAAACATCTTGAAACTAAAATTACAAAAGATATGAATTAGAACGCTTGATCTCATCCTTTTGCCGTCTCTGAGTCTTTCGTCTCCAAAAATAGTCTCCCTTAGGTTTGAATCCAGTCTTCCTTTTATAGGAATTGTCCTAGGGTTTATTTTCTCACAAAAGTTTAATTTCTGACGTACATAAAAGTACACGCCCAAGTACACGACCATGTACTTTGGCCGTGTACATCTCTGTTTTTTAATAGGTGCCCTTCAAACCTTTCCTGACAATTACACGCTCATGTACACGGCCGTGTATCTAGCTGTGTACATCTCTGGTCTCTGATACTTGTCCTTCACAATCTTTATAGGCAGTACACGCTCATATACATGGTCATGCACCTTGACCGTGTATATCTCTGGTTCAGATGATGCATTCCTTGACAACACCAGTGATGTACACGTTCATATACACGGGCGTGTATCTGCCCGTGTATATCTCTGGTTTGATTATTTACATATTCTCTGCATTCCAGTGAGATACACGACCATATACACGGGCGTGTATTTGCCTGTGTATATCTCTGGGTTCTTCTTTCTTCAATTCTTGACATCTTTAAGGTTTTCACATCCTTGATCCTTTTTCCTGAAATATAAATAAAATGAGATTAATTATAGTAATTTCTATCAATGAATAGCTTAAAAACTCTCAATTATCATAATGTAGGATTAAGTATTTAGAGCTTTTATCATAGTTCAACAAATAACTTTATTATACGAGTTTCAGCAATGAGTTAAAATAACTAAACATGTGATCAATGTGCTCATCTTTCCGTAGTTGCCACCTTTTATATCGAATACCATTTGGTCCAATATCAATTGGCATCCTATAGAATATTTTTGAAACTTATGTGTTATTTCCCTTATACTCCTCCAATATTCAACTTTCCAACTATAGCAAAGTAATTGGTGGACGGATAACTAACCAAGCTTGATTGTCACTGCAAAACATCTTTCCCTCCACTGTGTTTACAGTCTCACCATTATAATATATAAGGACATGAGCATAACCCTTTGTCATTTTACTACAATTTTCACACTTAATGTAAAATTTTGTAAAAAATAATCATGCAAAGTCAAGACTTGTATACGTTGATTTATACCGAATGTGTTAAAGTCGGCATCTGTTTAGGAATCGACTTCTTTGTATGCATAAATTTTAAAATAGTAGCAAGTTAATTCAAATCGATTTTTATTGAAGTTACGTGCAAAAATTATAACAAAATTGATTAAAATTGATTTCTATTAAAATAAAATCTAAGTAAAAAAACCAATGACAATTAACTTACATTTGTGCTTAAATATGGATGTTAGTTGAGTTAGATACCGTTGAAATACAAAGTTAAAACTTGCACCGAACTAACAATCGTTTTTTAACTAATTTATTTATTTGAACAAAACCTATAACCAACTCAACTTGCAAATGACGCATTCTTCAATGCTTTAGATATTGTGGGTTCAGTTAGTGAGTAATATGATGCTCTACCTTACTCCATCACCTGTAATATATATATATAGGAGTAGGATTTTTTTATACTGGTGTAAGTTTAAAAATTCTTACACTCAATCTGAGCTTTTCATTTAACTTAAATTTAACGGATTATAATTTATTACTTCACTGGTGTTAAATTTAAGTTAAATAAAAGACCTATAAAAATTTTCAAACTTACACTTATATAAAAAGATCATTCCTCATATATATATATATATATATATATATATTAACTATTGTAATTCTTTAAATATTTTAAAATTAAAAATTTATATTTTTTAAATAAATTAATAATCTCTTTAATAATTTAAAATTAATAATTATTATTATTATAAAAGGATATAAAATATCCTCTCAACTTAAAAAAACCGTAAACATTTACTTAAAAACTTTTATAAATTGATCATGTTTTTAAATTCTTATAAATTATAATTTTTTTTTTTGTTAATTCTCTTTTTCTTTCTCTTCTCACTTTTCCTGCTCTTCAAATCCATCCGTTTTCTTTTTTCTTGAAACTCAAACAAAGGTTTACAGTTAATATAATTATAAGAAAGGGAAAAAATTACTTAAAAAAATAGTAATAAACATTTAGAAACAGTAACAACCACACCGTCAAATGTATTTGTAACATACTTAACGCTCTACGCAAGTTGAGAAAATTAAAACAAGTTTTAAAATTCTTTTGGGGCCCTAAAACTGTTTTGGTTTTTGGTATCATTGTGAATATTTTGTTCAACTTCAAATGGTAATCAATGTGTGAACAAAGACATTAAGTTTGGGCCTAACTTTCAAGCTTACATTGGGCTTGCGCATTTCATCTTCGAACACAAAATAAGATCACTCATTAAAAGTGTTGAATTGTATTGAAAAAAAAAAACATATTATTTGTTATATTATGCGCTTTCAATCTTTTTATTTTTTGGTTTCTTATCAATTTGTTTCCTCACCTAATGATACGTGAGAATTCAGACGCTGATTTCGTATTAATTCCTTAATAGATCAAAGAAAAAATAGTAAAAAATTCAGAGCAAAAGTCTAGCAATTTCAAAGTCAGTTCTCTATTATATGAATATTAACATAATAGGTATCTATTATGTGAGGAGGAGGATATAGATCAATGAACTCGGTCATCGTGGGAATGCTCTAAAGGACATTTTCGTAGCTTTCTCAATCAAACGTCAAAAAACCAACGGTTGTGTCATAAAACAAGTCCTGGTTTTGCGCCAAATGTTGCTCGCAAGCCCTCCGCATCTCTCTCTAATGTTCGCCACGTGTCAATCCAATCAGTACATCCCCATGCACGTATAATCACAATCCTTCTTAATTATGCCACAGCTCTTCAAAGTTTCAAATGCATTTTAAAGCACCAATTAAGATAAACAAAACAGAAAAGTTTCAGTTTGAAATTGGTGTTAGAGATGAGCCAGGAGCAGCCTCGTGGGGATGAACAAGAAGGTATCAAAGATGGGGTTGATGAACATGAGGACATGAGTAAAATTTGTGCAGATGGTGGTGTAAGTGTAATTGGAGGACAGTGTCCATAGATATGCCAAGAAACACTCCTTTGCTATTATTTAAATTTAATTTTTTGAGGAATAATGTCATGTTGTTTATAATTCTTATTTGATTAATTGATTTCGTAGGTTGTTCACAAACTAGAAGAAAAGGAAAGGAAAATTTATAAATTAGTTGAGGTATTAAATCTTTCAAGAGAATATCATATATATTGCACTAACTTTAAAGTCTTAGTTTAGCTTTTTTGCCTTAGTTGAGGCAATGCAACTGAATTTTTCTAATATAGATAATCCTAGTAAATAAGGATAAATATTTTTAAAAAGGAAAAAAAAAACTTGATCCGTTTAAAAATGGCAAGAAACAAATAGATATGCATGTTATTTGTATTAACTGCTAATCCTTATATTATGAGTGAATAACATGAATCTAATAACGTTTTGTTAAACATTACTTATTTTTAATAAAAAAATTAGTACTTTTAAATATTTAAATTCAATTCTAAAGATTGAGATGAATAAAAATAATATATATATATATATATATATATATATATATATATATAATTTTTATTATAATCTATCCTTTATCTATTACAAGTAATACCTAATACCAAATTAATACAATATGATAAACAGGAAGTGGAGCAATTTAACCGAAAGGGTGCATTGAATATCATGACGCCTCCTTCTCTTGTTCAAGAAATGGTTGCAAAAGATGGTGGCAGCCGAATCACCATAGGTGAAGCACTCGAGGCGGCGGTTTTGACGGCGGGAAAGAAAGCGGTAGAGTGGAGCGATGCGGCGGCAATTCAAGCAGCGGAAGTGAGAGCCACTGGGCGCACCAACATTGTCCCTGGTGGTGTTGCCGCGGCTGCACAATCAGCAGCCACCCTCAATGCTCGAGCTACAAGGGACGAGGACAAGACCAAACTTGCAGATATTCTAACGGTACAGAAACTGAACCATCACTCTGATGATTTATTTAATATAAATTTTTAATTAAAAGATAATTTAATTAAAATAAGAATTTGAAAGAGACACATATTTCAATTCTTATTATATTAAGTATATTGAAGGATGCGACTTCGAAGTTACCAGCAGACAGAGCAGCAACGAGACGAGATGCTGAAGGTGTGATGGGTGCAGAAATGAGAAACGATCCCAACCTCGTTACTCACCCTGGAGGGGTGTCCGCATCCGTGGCTGCTGCTGCAAGGCTTAACCAAACCAATAATTAAGTGAAGCATTGCACTTCTCTTTCCAAAATTCTTTGACCTAATCATGCCTAATTTTCATCAAAGCATGTATAGATATTTCTTCTTCCGTTGACTTGAAAAGTAATTTTTAAGGTGACTTGAAAATTGAGGAGATATTTCATGTCTTTTTATATGCAAAATAGTCATTATTATTAATATTATATTAAATATAACAAGCATTAGAAGTTCATCATAAGAAAATATAAATATTCTTTAATTTTAAGATATTAAAACAATCACAATAATTGATTTAACAAGGAAACAGAATGCCACTGCTAGAATTTTGATATTATCTGAGAATTTTTCTTATGAAATTTTTTCTTAAGAAATTCGTATAATTTTTCATACGAAATTATAAAAATTTTGGTTTTTTTTGCAAAAAAAAAAAAAAACTCTAAATAAGTTCACAACAAATCTTAAAATTTTATGCAAAATTTTTTAGAATAAAAAGTGACATGAAAAACTTATTGTTAGCTGCAATTTTTTTTCAGCAAATTTTCATACCAATTTTTTTTTTTTGCAAGAACAAGTTGTAAATTTGCAGGAAAAGCTTAGTGTTTATGCGAATTTGATTGCCAAAACTTTTGCAGAAAATATCCTCAGAAAATTAATTAATTATTAAAATATTAAAAATTAATCTACTCACAAAAATAATTTGAAAAGATTATTAATAATTCACTTACCAAAAAAATTAAATTAACTTAATTTAAAAATATAAAATGATTTGACGATGCATCTAGATGATCCAAGAATTTTTTTTATTCACATGTTATTAAAGTTAATCATTTTAAAATCTGCAGCAAAATCTTTATTTTTTCTAAAGACTGTGTATTGTTTACTTACACAATTATAAATTTTTATAAAATTTAAAACAATGAAATTGAATAGTTGAATAATAACTTAATTATGATTTGGATATGATTGGAATAGTAATTAAAATATTTAAGTAAAACAAACGATATTGACAAAACAAGTATTGATTAATAATAAGTTGTATATAAAAATGATAAATTGTTTTTGCATTGAACATATTATGAAATAAAAAGATAAATTTTCTGTAAATGTTCAAGTGATAATTTTACTATTATTCTACTGAACTATTGGACTTGAGTGGATGTTTTCATTATGCACAGCATTTTGGTAATCTAATGCTAATATATAGTTTCGCTTTAACAAAAATATTAAGATAGAGTTCAACAAATAATAAAAGGATATATTTTTTTTATCACTCTATTTAATACTAAATAATATGTACATGGTTGTGTAATTATAATAAATACAATTTTTTAAATAATGTATTTATGCATGTTAAGTATTATTATTATGGTAGATAATGCCTTCTTTTATTATTTTTTCTCTGGATTCAACTTAAAGATAGATTTAATTAGCAGTAATTGAGAAGGCACCTTGTAAGAAAGATTAAAAACCAATGTTTGACTAAGTAGTGATATTATGAAATATAGAACCTTATAGAACCTAGCAAAAGGGATCCCGTCCAGCCCTGTAGCTTTTACAGCAAAAAAAAAGGCCTATTTTGAAATATAATATTGACCAAGTAGTGATATTATGATATTTTATATCAAGTAATGCTATTTAACACCTGTTTTAGGTGTTTATATGCAATACCGTATAAAAAAAGAAATTAAGTACTAGGTTGCACTAAACTTATTTTACACACGCGCACTAGTTACCAAACCTCATAAAAAAAACTTTTTCAACTCTCCCGTCAAGTTATGCGTCCTGTTTATCTTTTTTTTTTAAGGGAAAAAACTTCTTCTGCTAATCGCCTAGTGGCCTTGACTTCGTCCTCTTCTTCTTCTTGAACAAATAAAAAAAAAACATTTGAATGACTCTCGCCCTTATTCATGTTCTTGAATATCCTCTTCTTGAATGACTCTCGCCCTTCTTCTTGTACGTCCTCTTCTTCGCCCTTGTTTTTGTTCTTCTTCACAAAAAAGAAACGTTTCTCACTCCCGCCTACTATTCATTCTTCAGTGACTCTCTCTCATTTATTGTTTGCGGCCTACTCTTTCATATATGCATATTGGTTCTCATTCTAGCCTCTATGTTTTGAAAGCTTGAAATACTGATTTAGGCATCACTCAGTATTACAAGTACTTTTTTCCCTCCTCTTCTTTGGGTTTTCCACAATTTACGGGTACAGATAACGTTGATGAGTACTCTGAATTCATTTTAGATTCTTCTGTGGTGGCCTTATAGACAATGACACTTAGTGAATGTAGGTAATTTGACATATTAAGTTAGTAATTTTTTGACCTAGGTTCTAGTAATTTAGTGTATAAGTTGGTAATTCTTTAGGTGTGTCTTGTATTGATGAGTAACTAGAAATAATTTTATATTCTGCTATGGTGGCCTTCAAGACAACAACATTTAGTGAATGTAAGTAATCTAGCATCACAACTAGTAATTTTTTTGTCTAAGATACTGGTAATTTAGTGTATAAGCTGATAATCCATCAGGTCTATAAATTTGTCTCCTACTCCCATCATTGGACTAGGTAATATATTGAATTGGGGATAATACAATGGTGTATATTGTAATCTTAAGTAATATACTATAATTAAAATGATAACAATTTTTCCTTAAGTGAACTGTATATAAATGGTAATTGACCATAAAAAAATTGGCAATTCAATGTTCAAAGTGATGATAATTGATTATAGAAGCTGGTAATGTTGCAGTGTGTACATATAATTTTTTTTCCCACTTATCTAATGTGTGTTACTGAACTTAATTAATGGCTACCATAAGGTTATTTATTTATTTGTCACCAATAGTAGACCATATGTACGAAACTACTACTAATATGATAACAATTATACTGTAACTGAACTGTATAAAGATGATTATTGACCATATAAAGCTGGGTGTTGGATATCTGAAATCAAGAAAGAGAACCTATGTGCAAAGCAGTTGAAGCTGATGACATTTTACTAACTCCTTCTCCATCTGTTCTTCCTAGTCCAAGGTATAAAAGGTTATCTTCTCTTGGGGTTGAAAACCAAAACATAGGTATGTGTATATGTACAGTAGTGCATTGTGTTGATAAGGCTAAATTCATGAATGTTTAGGTAAGCACCTAGCATTGATGGTTGATGTTAACATGTATTGAAGAAAAAGTACATGGAAATGAATGTTAAGCAACTGAACAGAAGACCAACTGTAACTTAAACATTGAAACAAGGGTTAAGCTAAACACATATCAGAGGAAAAGAAGACCAGGACTGCATCGACAAACCCCTTACACTATTAGGAATTTGAGGCCAAGAAAAATCACATAGACTTCATGTTGGGCATTGTCAGACAATATTTGTTATAAATGTTATTTATATTTGATAATATAATTACCAGCACATACAACCATTCAATTACCACCATTGTATTGTTATCATATTATTACTAAATAACATTTTTTTAGTGAATGAGTATTGGTCCTAAAATAGGGCAACAACCAAAGAAATCATAATTAGTTGAATTGAACTAAGCAAAGGAATGGAGACAATTTGTATAGAGCAGTTACAGTAACACATACACTACATTACCAACATTTTTTAGTTAAAATTACCAGCATTATAAGGTTTGTAACCAGCTTTTTACAGTCAATTCAAGGAATATTGTCATCAATTTTACTAGCAGTATAATAATTATTTGCCTTATAGAAGAATATGGGTTGTGGTTCAGAAATAACAGCTATTTAAAAGCTGACACCTATAATAGCAGGCTCTCAAAATTATATAAAAATGTGATAATCTACAATATTACTAGTATCTAGAGTCAATTACCATCATATTAAAAATTTAATTATCAGATTTTTTTGTTCAATTACCATATTTATACAATTCAATTAAGGCAAAATTGTAACCATTTTAGTTTTAATATCATATATTATATTTACAAACAAAAATCACAATAATATATTCCATTCCACAATTTACAACTTTACAAGAGATAATGTCAAGATTTTGTTCTTCTGTCATTCACTGTGTCCTATCTTACATATAACAACAAATAAAAAACTCTGTAGTGGCCAAGGAACCATAATGTCAAGATTTTGTTCTTCTCACATGCATGCTAATATTCTTATTTTTTTAAAACATTCTTGTCTTCAAATGACTCACTTTATGAGAATGATCAAGAACAACTATTTTTATAGACCACTTTCCAAATCCTCATTTCTTTGCTGTAATCTTTGCTTCACATTTGACAACTTTGATACCAATTGATAGGTATGAGAACCATAATGTTAAAGTATGTATTGAATTGGCTCAGTTGAGCAAAAAACAACAATGGGAAGAGAGCTCTTAAGCGGCTCCGCGCCCTAAGACTTAAGTAATTATCCAAGATGCCTATTCCCATCTGTAACCCCATTATTTAAAATATTCTGTTTCCTAAAATCATGCTCCTAACTACAGAAAACAATAACAATAACAAAAGATAAATCCTAAATTACTGAAAACAAAAAACAATAACAAAAGATAAATCATAAACTGCTTATAACAGAATATAACAGCCTATTTCCTAATTCCTCTCCTATAGTTTTGCCACTTATAGACCTTCAACCCGTTCGAAAACTTGTCTCTAACAATACTCTCCCCTTGAACAATCACCTTGTCCTCAAGGTGGAATTTGGGAAATTTGAGTTGGATATCTTTTGCCACCTCCCCAAGTTGTAACGTCCAAAATTTTAAGTGTCTGTTTTATGCTATTAATTGATTTTCTCGATTAATTTACATGAATAAGGTTAATAAGAGATTAATTGAATATTTATTAGAATTCAAATCTATGTTGATTATGTAGACTAGAATTAAAAATTTATAGTAGAATTTCTTCTTAGGAGAGAAATCAGTATAGTTTCAGTAATTTAAATTATTAGAATAAAATAATATTATTTATCCTAGATCCAACGGTGGGGAAGCCATCCACCATACCTTGATCCAATGGCTTATAATTAACCTTGTGGC